CAGATGCAAGCTTTGAGGTGAATTTGGTCCCAGGGGCAAGCACTGTTGTTGTGGGTGCGGATGAAGTCCTGGATGAGCTGGAACTATTTGTTGATGCTGAGAACAGCAGGTTGTGAGGGCCTTGGCCTTCAAAGAGCATGCCATTGGCTGGCACACATTGCTCCAGGTGGTGGATGTAATGCTGGAGGTTGTTGAGGAGGTCCTGCCATGCCTGGGCATCCCAGTGTTGGGGAGTGCTGGGGCTGCTGAGGATGGCAAAGAGGTGCTGCAGGATGTGGAGGGCAATGGCGACAGCTTGCTGCACGTGGTTGATGTGGAGGAGGATGTCGAAGGCAAATGGTGTATGCTGGTGGTGGCAGGGCTGTGGTGGGCTGGGAGCCATGGCCTGGAGGAGCTGGAAGCTGTCCTTGGGGAAGGTGCCATTGCAGGGACACAGGTGGTGACAAGCGAGAGCAGTGGCAAAAGCCAGCAGGAGGAGCAGGAGCACTGGGGCATTATGCTGCAGGAAGGGCTGTGGGTCCTACACGGGTGGTGCTGGGCAGGAGCCTGGTCAGGTTTGATGGTGGGTGAAGGTGGAGAGTGTGCTTGGGGTGCTGCTGGGTAGCCAGCTTTATATGGTTTGGTGGCTTTCCTTTAATAATCATCATCTAGACAGCATTTTCATTTTCAGTTTTGCTTTCTTTCTCCTGAGGGCTGCTGTGGGGGTATGGGGGGAAGTCTGGCTCCTCTGTGTTGTGTTAAGAGTATGGATTTGACTTTTGCCTGACAGAGCCCCTCCACGGACTTTCACTGAGACAGTTTCGCAAAGTTGAATATAGATAATTTATTGAGGTGACAGATATAATAGATTCAGAATTACTGTTGATAAATTGCTGTGTTAACACTAAATATCCTAAGGCTAGCCAATGATTAATTAAGCTAAATTAACAATTCACAGTTCACTAAGCTTAACTTCACATTTAATTAAGCTTACTTTCACCTGGGTGTCATCTGTAAATGCAATTTCTTACCTAAAGAGGCATCCCTGCTAATGGAGAAAGGAGAATGGAGTCAGACCCGTCAATCTGCCCAGCAATCAGTGAAGTGTCTCCTCTTAACGAGGTGTTTCTTCTTTCCACTAAGTGTTTGCAAAGGACCAGATTTATAATCTTGAGGTGGTGAGACTAAGTCATGTTTTATAAGCTTCTAACAAGGCTTGTTATGTATGGATAAGGGGGTGTGAGGCTAATGTCTGGTAGAGAGACATGGGTGCTCTATGAGGCTTCTGTGGTTGTTTTTCTAGCTTCATTGAGACAACAGTGAGCTGTGAGGCCTCCACCCCAGACATCATTCAGTTGTTACACATGCCCTTGCACAAGCCAGGTGCAAGATAAGCAAGTGGCTCAGCTCATGTTCTTGTTCAACTAGTCTCATCAATTCTCCATATTTTTAAAACAGCAAACCTGGCAGTTTTCCACATTGTGTTCTTATAGTTCAGCGAGTGATGAAAGCATGGCAGCAGAGGCATTTGGGGTAGCTGTACTGGGGATGTTTTTCGGGGTTTCCTTTTTGTCTCTTTTGTGAGTGGTCTAGCTTGGTTTTATTTTCAAGTTTGTCAGTCAACTAACATCTATTTTTCTTATTTTATGCTCTGTTATTATTTGTATATATGAGTTAATGCATGTTTTCTTTTATTTGTTATTGACAAACATTTTTAGTTTGTTGGTTTTTTGATTTTTTTTTTCTCCCACCTTTCCCTATAGCATCTACAGCCTTGCTGGTGGAAGGGTTTTTCCTCTCTCTGCAAATATCTTTAAGAATGTTTTTGGGATCATCTGTCATTTCCCCCTCCCCCCAGTTTTTCCTCAGTGTGTTGATATTTATAAATACATACATAAGTGTTGTGAAGGCTTTTTCATCGACTATTCATGCAATGGTTGTGGTTTTAGATATTGGGGTACTTTTATTGTGTTTTGAATTTGTTGTAGAAATTGGGCAACATTAGGTGTATGGGATGCAGGAACTTCTGGGAATATTTTGACATACTGGTCTGTTCACATCTAGAAAGTGAAAGTGGACAGAGTCCCAAGTGCAAGTTGTCACTGCTTCCTGGGAAGCTTCCAGTAGTGAGAGGTACTGGTGGTTGCTGATACAGTGAGTTGGGGGAGGGGTGTGTGCATATCTTTTTGAATTTAATTCAATTTCTGTGAGGGAAAAATTACACGTAGGTACTCCAGATACCAGGCTATAGCTAAGGATTTAGAAAAATTTATTTCTGAAAGCCAAAACCAGTAACAGTATGGTGCTAAGCACCGGGCATGAAAAAACGCCCACTCTTGTTCTCTTGGGGCCTTTTTTATAGCACACTTGGCCCCCCCTGTGGGACTTTCAAGTATGTCTGTGAGAGCTTATCTTGTAACAGGGAGTCAACCTCCATGGCAGGCAGGAGGAAGAGAAAACATAAAACTATTCATGGGAAAATGTTTTTTCCCAGGCATCAAAGCTTCCTTGAGCAAGAATTAACTCTTTTCTCCTTGAGTATTTCTTCTGAAGATTTTTCTACACTTACAATTTCTTAATGTCTATGTTGATGCTGTAAATTCTCACTGTGTTGTGTTTTGGGGGTTTTGTTTGTTTTGGTTGGATTTGTTTGTTTGTTTTAATTTTGGTGTGTATTACATTGGTATATGCTATCCTTTCTATTAGACTGTTTCAGGCTGACTGTGTAGTAGAGATCTTATAAATGCCTTAGCTGGTGTGCATGGTATCTAGCAAGCTGTTTGGTATAACTTACATCTATTACATCAGATCACTTATAATTTTTCAGTCCTTTTCTGTCTTGCGTTTTGAGTCTCTTCCTGATATTTCAGTTTTGACTTTAGGCACCTTCTCTTGCATCCCTTCTGTAGGTCAGGAAATACCTGTGTTGTTTGAAGAGCAGAGTATCTCTTCTGATGTTTTCCTATGGGTGGGCATGAAGTGTAAAGATAACTGGTTTGCACTACTATTTTCTAATGATTTTTGGTTTGAATGTGTGTATGCAGAGGTGTGGGGAATAGGCATATTCAGTGCTGATGTGGTTTTCCTGTTGTGGTTAAACCCAGTCAGACACCAAGCCCCACGCAGCTGCTCCCCCACCAGTGGGATTGGGGAGAGAATCAGAAGAGTAAAAGTGAGAAAACTTGTGGGTTGGGATAAAGACAGTTTAATAGGGAAAGCAAAAACCGCATGCACAAGCAAAGCAAAACAAGGAATTCATTCACTGCTTCCCACAGACAGGCAGGTGTTCAGGCCTTGGCTCTGTGCAAGCCCTGCTCAGCAGTAACAAAAACATTTCTATATTATCAACCCCGTGTTCAGCACAATTCCAAAACGCAGCCCCATACCAGCCACTGGGAAGAAAATTATCTCTACCCCAGCCAAAACCAGCACATCCCCTACCTGAGGGGCAGTGGGAATAATTGCAATCCTTAGACCCTGTTCTCATGTAGATTTGGTTATATTTTGTCTGGTTTATATGGGGGAAAAATGCTAGTGTCAGTTCTAGTTCATGTCCATTGAATCCTGTTCAGACCTCTTCTCCAAATCTGCTTTTTGTGTTGTGACGTTCCTCAGGAGATGGGAGTGCTGCTTTTGTGTAACCTGCAAAGACTTTTATTAGGAATTTGGTTGTGTTTTGTTAATTGATTCATGTTGGAGTTGCTGAGGTGGAATTACCTGGGAAGGAAAGGATGATGAAATATGTCACCATTTCAAGTTACAGAAAGTACATGCCATACTAAGTCTTTGCCAGAGGGTTTCATGTTCAGGGATGGAGGATTGGGTTTAGGAGACAGGGGAGGGATGCACAGAAATGCAGCAAGGTGGAAGGTGCTGAGGAATTTACAGAGAGGGGTACAAAGGAGGAGGATGCTTTTCCAGTGTTGAATATTGTGTGGAAATGGATATCTTAGTGGTTAAAGCATTAACTCTTGATGGATTGGAGGTGGTGAGGAGAAAACCATGAGAATTAGGAGGAAAATCACTTAGTAGAGTACCAGCCCCACATGTAGAGTTCACCCAAAGAGGGAAAGGCAAACTTTTCTCTTTTTGTCCCAAACTGAAGACAAAATGTTTCTTTGGTTTTGCTGGCATGTCCTGTCATCTTGAAGTGTGAGCTTTTTAGGGTGAGGACTGTCTTACCTTCCTGCAGAAGAATGATCTAAGGCAGTGGTCTCCACCTTTTTTGATTGCACCACCTCATCAATAAAAAATTTGTGAGCACTCCCAATATATTTTTATTAATATATATGTATACTATTGCACTAATATGTATGTTATAAACCATACATGAAAATAATAATAAAAAAAGGATGAGAACAAATTTTTATTTTCATGCTCGATTTTTAATGTTTTTAAACCTTATTTATTAATGGTACCAAACCCAATTTCTTCATGCACCCCAATGGATTTTCTTGCACACCCCACTTTGGAAACTACTGATCTGAGTTCTCTTGTAACATAGTTTAATTAAATTTTCCAGTCATCAGGTGGTAACTTTTTTTCACCAGTTTTTTTAGTATTTCTGCTGATTTCCTAGCTGATGTTTTTTACTTTTAGAAAACAGGGCATGGTAAAACCTTTAAACTACATCCAGTTTGTGATTATGGTCCTGGTCTGACCCTAGGTCTTTGGCCCCTGATGGTCTGTTGCTCTTTCAGGCACAGTCTCTCTGGAATATGGCAGCTCAGAGCTAAAGGTTGGGAGGGGTAAGCATTTAGTTGTTGCCTTTAATTTATCATTAAGAGATTAAGTATTTGTATATGATATTAAAAATGTCTGTAAAATAGGTTTATTTTGAAGTTGAGGATTCAGGTAAATCTTCAGCTATGCTGTAAGTGATGTCAGCTTCTGTCCAAACTTCTTTAGTTCTTCCTTTTAAAATTTTCTTATGCGTATAATACAGGGTTCATAAGAGTTGTCCAGCTCTGTTTTGGTTTCAGCGTTTCAGCTATTGATAAATGATGTTGCCTTTTTCTAAGGATTACTATGGAATTACATTCCCTGCTCCTGCAACCTTAACAGGCAGAGATGGAAGCCTTGCTAACAACCCCTACTCAGGTGAGTGCTATTTAAACACGAGGGTAGTGAGTGAGATGGGATGGTCATCCTGCTGTTGCTGAAAGAGTAGTCGTTTTTCCCTTCTGTAGGCAATTAAACCCATCAGTACAAACTAGCCAAACAAAAGCGAGCATCTCTCTCTCAACCCTGACATTGATTAGTTTTTTTTATTGATTTTTTTTTTCCTTTATGGTTTTGGTCAGTAATTCATATGTGACTTGGATGTTCTTGGGAGTAAGTTGGATACCCTTTGATAGTACATACAAAGTTGTTACAAATTTAAATGGTAGTGTCATCTAGTGTCCTTCCCAAGCACATACAGGTGCTTGAAAAATATTCCATAGCTTGATCATTCTTCTTGAAATTTGACTGGCTTGCTTTCCTTTGTTACTGCTATTTTAGTACTTCGGTGTTCTCAGGAGGAGCTGCACCTAGCAGGCTCCCCCTCACCCTCCTCAAATGTAATGGACTTCATTCCCAAAAGCACGTGGTCCAAGAAACCCTTGTTCAATTCTGCTCTTACTCTTTGGTTATCGTTGTGCAAAGATTACATTAATGCCATCCAGGATTTTCAGCCAGTGGTTTTCTTTCACTGCAATCTGATTACAGCTTAAAACTGTATCTATAGGTGTTACAATTCCTATAACGATATTAAGTGTTGTCACATTTTTGAGTTACGAACATAAAGGAATACTAGTTGGGAATGAGATAGATATGAGTGATATATGCCACCTCCCTAAAAACATGTGAGCATGCTGCTCTGTAGGCTGCCAGAAAATGCAAGTGTTCAGGAGTTTTTCTGCTGCATAATCATTTCTCTCAGGAGGTTGCTTTTGGGGTAATAACCAAATTTCCCTTCCTACTTCTTTAAAAAGGTGGCCCACAATGCAAGTCTTGCTTTCTTGGCCTTCAGCTATTGTCTCTAGAACTTTGGTGGTGTGAGGAACCAGACATATTAACTAGTCATGCTTGACAAGTAAATAGACATTGACAAAAATATGCCTATCACTTCCTGTAAATCCTAACTTGCTTTCAGCCCATGAGGCTTTGCAGTCAGTTTAACCTCCAGAAGAGTCACACTTTAACCCAACAACTATTTGTTTTTTGGCTATTTACCATACTTTTGCTTTTAGCATGTTTTATTGCAATGATCCGATATAATGAATCTGCTCAGTGTGAGATAGGTAAGTATTGGTATCTCCATTTTATCAATGTAATAGCCATGGCATGGAGTTCTGTGCCATGAACAGGCCATGTCCCTGTGGCCATCAGGAACAGAGACTGGGAGAAGGCTTCCCATGAACAACTGCAGGCTTTCAAGTGTAGGACGTGTCCTCTTCTGTAGTTATCTACTTGTATTCAGAGGTTTTGAATCCTTTGAATTCTCCACTTTTGGAGTAGCTTTCATAGTTTTTCTGATCAGTTCATTCTTTCGCAGGTGACATAAAATTTGGCCGTGGGGATTCTGCCTCCCCTGCTCCTGCTACCACGCTCGCCCAGCCGCAGCAGAACCAGCCACAGACTCACCATACAGCTCAGCAGCCATTCCTCAACCCGACCCTGCCCCCAGGGTACAGCTACACTGGGTTACCTTATTATGCTGGTGTGCCCGGTGTACCCAGTGCATTCCAATATGGGCCAACCATGTTCGTAAGTGTGACAGCCTAAACTGTAACCCTCCCTGCGTGCCTCTCTGGTTTTGATCTGTCCAGCCCAAACCTTCTACATCTTAGAATCACAGGATGGTTTGGGTTGGAAGGGACCTTAAATATCATCTAGTTCCAACACCCCTGTCATGAACAGGGGCACCTTTTACTAGACCAGGTTGCTCAAAGCCCCATCCAGCCTGGCCTTGGACACTTCCGGGGATGGGGCAGCCACAGCTGCTCTGGGCAACCTGTGCCAGGGCCTCACCACCCTAATTGTAAAAACATCTTTCTTATGACCAATCTAAATCTACCCTCTTTCAGTTTAAAGTCATTTCCCCTTGTCCTGTCTCTACAGACCCTGGTAGAAAATGTTTCTGTGTCTTTCTTATAAGCTCCCTTTAAGTATTGAAAAGCCACAATAAGGTATTCCTGGAGCCTTTTCTTCTCCAGGCTGAACCCCAACTTTCTCAGCCTTTCTTTATAGGAGAGGTGTTCCATCTCTTTCATAATTTTCATGGCCCTCCTCTGAACTCACTCTAACAGGTCTGTGTCTTTCTTGTGCTGGGGGCCCCAGAACTGGATATAGTACTCCAGGTGGGGTCACATGACAGCAGAGTAGAGTCATATTTCCCAGTCTGCAAGGGATCTCCAAAAACATGCAAGCGTTAGAAAATACCTGCAGTCTCTTCCCCAAGAAAACAGGAAATTTACAAGTCCGGAACTCATGCATTCCTGTGCAGGTCACTATAAATAGCAGACAGCTGCAGCTCATAGACTTGGTGTTCCTGAAAGCCTGTAGAACCCTCTGGATAGTCAAAGGGAGATGCAAAGCTGAATTAAAGAGCCGAGAATGCCTAGGAAATCCTTTTGAGGATGGAGGAGACTCCATTAAGTCAGAGAGCATGGAGTCTCGGGAGAGAAAATGTTATTTGGGAAGAGGTGATGCTCCAAGCAGAAAGGTAAATGAGTCTATTTTAGGGCCCTGTAGGAGTGTGTCTTATGTAACAACCTCAGGCAGCAGTTGGTGTTATATTTGATTCTGTGGGTGAGAATTTGCTGTTTACAGTCAGCGTATGAAAGAGGTTTAATAAGGCGAAGTGCTGGGTCCTGCACTTGGGTCACAACAACCCCTGGCAGCGCTACAGGCTGAGGGCAGAGTGGCTGGAGAGCTTCCTGGTGGTAAAGGACCTGGGGGTGCTGGTCAACAGCTGGCTGCACATGAGCCAGCATGTGCCCAGGTGGCCAAGAAGGCCAATGGCATCCTGGCCTGTATCAGGAACAGTGTGTCCAGCGGGACCAGGGGAATGATTGTCCCCCTGTACTCAACACTGGTGAGGCCACGCCTCGAGTGCTGTGTCCAGTTCTGGGCCCCTCACTGCAAGAAAGACATTGAGGTGCTGGAGCACATCCAAAGAAGAGCAACTAAGCTGGTGAAGGGTCTGGAAAGTAAGTCCTATGAGGAGCAGCTGAGGGAGCTGGGGTTGTTTAGCCTGGAGAAAAGGAGGCTCAAGGGGGCTTTATTGCTCTCTATAACTACCTGAAAGGAGGTTGTAGCCAGGTGGGGATTGGCCTCTTCTCCCAGGCAACTAGTGACAGGACAAGAGGACATAGCCTCAAGCTGCACCAGGGGAGGTTCAAGTTGGACATCAAGAAGAATTTCTTCACAGAAAGGGTTGTTAAGCATTGGAATTGGCTGCCCAGGGAGATGGTGGATTCACCATCCCCATGTGTTCAGCTGGATGTGGCACTTAGTGCTATGGTTTAAATGGCATGGTGGTGTGTGGTTGAAGGTTGGACTTGATGATCTTGGAGGTCTTTTCCAACCTTAATGATTCTATGATTCTAAAGAAATACGCAGCCTGTTCTGAGAGAGGGTTGTGCTTCAATCAGAGGGGCAGCTCTGGCAGAAAACTTGGGGCTTGCATAAAGCAATTTACTTCTGAAAGTGTGAGTGCCATGTCCTTTGTCAGCCCAGTGCTCTGAATTCCAGATTGAATTTTCCATGTGAAGAGAAGGTGACTTCTCCACTAGATGGCAGAGGGAGCTTGTGTTTTGTGTGCTGTTCCCTGATTAACAGTCTTCTGTTTCCTTCCTTTGTCCAGGTACCCCCAGCATCTGCTAAACAGCATGGAGTCAACCTTAACACCACCTCGACTCCTTTTCAGCAAGCAAGTGGCTATGGGCAGCACAGCTATGGAGCAGGTATGCTTACCACTGTGCTTTTCACATGCATTTCTGCAGAGCTACATGCTTGCTGTAACACCTTGTCTTGTACACACTGGCAGGCTATGATGACTTAACACAGGGAACAGCAGCTGGAGATTACAGCAAAGGAGGCTACAGTGTGTCATCTCAAGCACAAAACAAATCTGCTGGCACTGGACCTGGGAAAGGTAACATGAGGTTGCTCTTGACTGGGATTTAGTAGGGCCAACTCCCAGTGCTTTATAGTCAACACAGCAGCCAACTCTAAACAGGGTCATGATCCAAGCTGTTTCTCCATCTCCCATATACAAAATGCTTTATAATGGCCCAAGTGTTCCTTCTAAACCTCATGGCTGAACTTTGCACAAGGATTTCTGTGGCTGATGTACAGCTTTGTCCACAATTATACATTGGAGAAATGATGAGCTGTTACCTCTGACAAAGTTTTTTTGATGAAGAATATAGTGATCCTGCAGCAGTGCTGTGTTTTTGAAGCCTAAGCAGTTGAATGCTGTTGCTGAAATAGTCCTCTGCAAAACGAAGACTAGATTGAGTTTCTTGGTAGGCACTTGAGGTAGCCATGTGTTAGGGTTGAACAGGGCACTTCACACATCTCTGGGCTGTTTAGCTTCTGTCTGTACGCCCTGTAATGATGCCTAAAAGCCAGAAAATAACTCTAAAACTCTTTTGAGTATTAGAAAGGAAAAAGCACTTATTTATTTACAACATGCTGGGTGCATAGGAATCATTTCCAAAGTATGCCCTTGAATTATAGAGGTTCTACAGTTTTTATACTAAAAATATCTAGACATTACATCATCTGTTACACCCACTTCCCAAACCATCCCTCCCACAGTACCACCTTCGCCTCCCGAATTTGAGTCGGTGGTCCTAAAATGTCCACTCCTTCATCTTCATCTTTGTCTTCCTCGCCATCTCTGTCCTCCTTGGAACGGCTTCAAGGCCTCTGGGTAGCTTTGACTACTTATATCAAGTGGTGTGACTCTGTTATGTCTCTTTCTTAGTACTTTTCTACAGATAAGTAGCTCTTCACCTTGGTAAAATCTTTTGTCTGTTGAAATTCTTGACAAGGAACGTTAAACAGCATTTTCAGAAATCTTGTACAAAGGTACTTAGTGAGCTAAAAGTACTAATGAGCTATACTAAAATCTTATATAATATAGATTTTAAGGCATCAGTAACTCATTGCCTTGTTTCATGCCTGGAAATGTTTCCTTTGTGACTGTAAAGGCTGAAGAATTTACACAGCTCATATGAAAGCTTTATTCTGCACATGCTGGTTAGACCTGAGAAGTGTGTATTTAAATGCTTAACACTAACTAGTTCATCCTTGGACTTAAGCAAATACCAAGCATTTGCTGTGCATTTGAAACACCATCTTCACCAAGAGGTGATCACGCTCTCCTCTGTGGAGGAGCAAACCAAAAAGGAAGGGAACAACCGTAGAGCAGTGCATACCCTCTGAGCCCAGTCCTTTGATTTACTGGCCAAAGGAACAGCTGATTTTATTCTGATCCAAGTGAAATTATTAGAGCCAGTCTTTATAAGACTGAATAAGTGGCTGGTTTGAGAATCACCTTGCTGGTGAGTGTTTCTAAGCCTGTTATGGCACCAGACTGTCCAGGTGGAAGCCAGCCTGAATCAGTGATATTAATTTTCTCAGGGCAGAGGAGCATCACAGACCTCACCCTTCTGCAAGATGTAAAAGGACAAGGGCTCAAATGTGTAGCAGATGCTGAGTCTCATTGCTTAGTGCACTACTGGAAAGCTCTTGAATGCTACAGTAGAGCCAAATGCACCCCTAATCTTAGGGGAAAGCTGTCTTTTTGTTAGCTTAAATGAGTGGTGCAACCAGCTGCTGCCTGGTGAAGTGCATTTGAATCCAAGTGGTAACCACTGGGTTGTGAATGTGGGTGATTTATCCCAGTGGACTGGTTTCCTGCTTTGCAGTGGGAGTGAGGAACCGAGCCATTTCTTCTGTTCCCATATGGAGTACTGTGGGTCTGACAGCATGGAGAACCCCACCGGGTGGGCCAGCAGCAGGGTGTGGGGTGCAATGGTTGCAGACAAAGGTGCATCCACTTAGGCTGCCAGAGGTGCTGGGAGAAAAGCATGGGGCTCATGCTAGGTGGTGGTTGACTTTCCCATTCTTAAAGGATATTTTTTCTTTTCCAGGTGTTTCTGTGACCTCAAGTAACACAGGTGTGCCTGATATCAATGGTTCAGTCTATAACAAGACTCAGGTGAGTAATGGTAGACCCTCCTCCCCTGTGGTCTGCGGCCAGGCTGATGGCTCCCCTTGTGGAGGAGGCTAGGGCCATTCCCAGACCAGTTGGTCTCAGGGTCAACAGGCTGTGTCTTCTTATGGTGTCTCTGCTGTTGGAGAGGAGTCTCGCCCTTTGTCCCACTGCTTCTGCCATGTCAGCTCCTGACGGCAGCTGCTGGCATAGGTGCAGCACTATGCTGCCCAAGCTGCCCCACACGTGCTGTGTCCTGGGTGCAAATAAAGTGTGATGGCACTAACATTTTTGGTAAAAGTATCCCCCAAAGCAAGTGAGTTGAGAGGCTGGGTTGAACTTTGGTCAGGGGGAGGAAAAGTAGTTCTTGTGTTTTTGTTGAGCTGCCCTGGGTAGGTCAAGTAATTCCAGCCTGAGCCCCCATAATGTGTGAAGAACTAATTTCAGGCAGCTGTTGCCATCCCATGTCCCACTGAATAAAAAGAGGTCAGGGAAAAATGGGCATAGTAGCTGTGGAAATAAAAAGTTGAAAGCATTAGTGCAGAAGAACAGATGAGAAAAGGAGCTGAAACTCATCTGATGAAGTGCTTTCAGGTGTAACTTGGCTTGCTCATGGGGTTGGTGAAAGTTTCAGGTGATATGTCTGGGGCACTCTTGTTCTTGTTTGGTCACCATTGGGCTGCTCACACCAGTCTCTGATGCTGTCCTCCTCACCTCCCGTGCAGACATTTGACAAGCAGGGATTCCATGCTGGCACATCGCCTCCTTTTAGCCTACCCTCTGGTCTCGGATCAACAGGGCCCCTGAACCCTGGTGCTGCCCCAGGTTATGCTCCAGCCCCGTTTCTCCATATCCTCCCTGCACATCAGCAACCTCATTCCCAGATGCTGCATCACCACCTTCAGCAAGATGGGCAGGTGAGTCAGCCACTTCCACATCTACAGTGTACCTGAGGGCAGATTCCTATCAGGGTCTTGGGGGTTTTTGCTTTGCTCATTGGGAAAGGGCCTTGACAGCAATTGTAGACTAATAGACTTGATGCTGTTGACCAGCTTGGGGAGGGAATCTCATTAAGTTCAGCAAGGGAAAATGGCAAGTCCTGCCCCTGGGGAGAAACAACCCCATGCACCACTATATGTTAGGGGCCAAAGCAGTTTGGCGGAATAGGCCCTGGGCATCCTAGTGGACACCACGTTAACCATGAGCCAACAATGTGTCCTTGCTGCAAAGGTGGCAAATGGGATCCTGGGCTGCATTAGGAGGAGTGCTGCTAGCAGGTTAAGGGAGGTGATCCTTCCCCTCTGCTCATCATTGGTGAGTCTCGTGTCCAGTTCTGGGCTTCCCAGTAAGTAAGTAAGTAATGGCCAGTCTTCGCGAACGAAGAACCGGGGAAGGTCTTTGCACCTTCCAGCCTGCGCATTGGATTTTTTAGGTGAGACACAGTGTGCGCGGAACTGAGCCCACCCTTTAATCCTGAGGTTCATCTGCCGGGGCCAAGCAAGCTTGGACGGTGGCAGCGAGGTCCTCAGGATGTAGATGGATTGCCTTACAGGGCTAACGAGCTCCATCTGCCCGGGGAGGGGCCCTGACCGGGAATCAAGACAAACATGGATGTATGGCAGAGTCCAACAAAGGGACACAAGGATGATGAAAGGACTGGATCATCTCTCTTATCAGTAAAGGCTGAGAGAGCTAGGACTGTCAGCCTGGAGAGGAGAAGGCTCAAGGGGGATCTCATCAATGTATATATATACCTGAAGGGATGGAGCTAGGCTCTTGTCAGTGGTTCCCAGCGACAGGACCAGAGGCAATGGGCACAGGCTGAAACACAGGAGGTTCCCTCTGAACATCAGGAAATAGTTTTTTACTGGGATGGTGACAAAGCACTGGCACAGATTGCCCAGGGAGGTTGTGGAGTCTCCATCCTTGGAGCTGTCTGGTCCTGAGCAACTAGCTCTAGGTGACCGTGCTTGAGCAGAAGGATTGGACAAGATACCTCAAGAGATCCCTGCCAACCTCAGCCACACTGTGTGATTCTGTGAAGAGACCATCCTAATGTGGGGTGTGGAGAGATGGGCTGTGAGGTCTGAAGCTGAGGCAGGCATTGATGTCCCCTGGCTGTGGCAGGAGAGCAAGATGTGAGCACTTGTACTGTAATTCTGGGGGGAAAATCAAGCATCCCCTTGCAGGTTGCATGTTGGCTCCAATTTCTGATTTGGTTTTACCAGCCCATGTATTTCCTTTCCTCACTGTAAATGTTTCCAGGAGAAACAGTGTTCTGCCTTAGAATCCAGAAATAAGAAATTACTTCTCTTTCTGAATATGTGGCATCCTTGACTGGTGCACTGCCTCTGTTCATCTTGGGAGAGCTCCTTTGTTGTCCCATCCTGCTCCTCTCCTTGTCCTTGAACCTGTCTTGGGTAGGAGGTGATGGGACGGTGAGTCCCCACACTTCTGCTTGGTTTCTCTGTGACTGTCCTGGATTGCAGGATTCAACGATGTTGCAAAGCAGAAACAAATCCCTTGCTGCGTTGGTTGGGAGCTCTTCAGCTGATGTATGGACAGGCTTGCTTTCCTGGGAGTGCTGGTGCTCATCTCTCCTTTCTTTCCAATTTCTAGGGTGGATCTGGCCAACGCAATCAACCCAGCACCATGCAGCAAAAATCTCAGGCTACCAAAACCACCTATGGCACTTCTCCATACTGGACAAACTAAATCTGAAACCAGGGAAGGGGGAGAGAATCAAAGGAGAGGAAAGGAAAAAAAAAAAAAAAAGAGAGAGAGAAAGAAAAAAGCCAAACCCCATTCCTAGAATTAATAGAAGTAACTGCTTAGCCAAATGTCTGTGCGGGGAGAAGTGCAGCCAACCAGCCATCCTCTGTGTGACTTGCCTGCTTCCTCTTTGAGTTACTGTTGTATGTAATATATTTATGTATGTATTTGTAAATGTAATATAGCCTAAATGTGGTTTTCTGCGTCTTGCAGCCTGTTTTATTTTCTTTGTAGGAAAATTTATTATTAATTTCCCATCTGCACCAGGGCATCCTTCTATTTTTTTAAGCTTTATAACTGTCGAAAGACAAACTGTGCCATTTTTTTGGAGCTGGAGCCCATTTATTTAATGCAGTTCTAAATTCAGGCAAATAAGGAGACCTGCCTTCCCCCCCCCTCCAAAAAAAAAAAAAAGGAATCAAGATGTGTCCTGTTGGTTTGATTTCTGTCCTCAACCCCCAATATAGCTGTTACTTTAAAGAGATAAAAAAGGGTTGGGGGGAAGGAAAAAGAAAATTTTTGTGAGTTTTCCCCTTTCTTTCATCTCCTCCCTCCCTCCTGCTGTGGAAGATGAACTTTCATGGGCAGTTTTTCCGCTGTGGCCCTGAGCTGCAGCTTCACCTTTTTATTTTCTATTAATAAAAACCTTTTTTTTTGTTTTGTGTTTTTTTGGTTGATTGGGAGTTTTTGTTGGGGGCAGGTTGTATGTTTTGGTGTTGGGGTTTTTTTTCTTTCTCTAGCAAGAGACTTTGGATGGCTCAGTGGGTCCTGCAACTTCGTTTCCATCATTATAGGTCAAAACTATGTAACAGTTTCTTAAATAAAAGTATAAGCTCTGTCTTCTACCTCTTTTTGCCTTGAGCCACCCTGCCAGGAAAGACACAGCTACTTGATGGAAACTTCACTTGTCCTTCCCCATTTTTTTTCTAAAACAAGACCCTGGAGGCAACTCCTGGTCCTTCTTGTTCTGCACCAGTGTGGTGAATGTTTTAATTTTATTTCTTTTTAGCCCTTCCTCCACCTAATAAATATCTGAGCATATCACTGGTGTTTGTCTGCATTTTCAAAGGCCTCAAGCAGTTTTGCTTTTACAGCCTGTCCTTTTATACCTCTTCCTCCTGGGAGGGTAAGAGCAGGAGATGGGTCTGCAGGGGATGCTGAATACCATGACAAAGGTGAGCACACCTTGGTACTGAGAGCTCATAGGCAGTTGCAGTGGGGATGGGATCCTGGGCAGCACTCCTGCCACAAGCATCATGTCTCTGCATTTGCTGTCCTCTGGCATTGTGCTCTGTCTTTGGCCCTGTGGAGCAGCCTGGAACGGTAAGGAGGGAGCACAGCAGCACTGCCCTCCTTCTTTTGCCCATGAAGTCTATGGCCTCCACCAGGAGGAAGGTCAGTGGTGAGGGCACCTGAGGGATAGCTCCTGCCCCAGGCTCATCCTCCTGAGCATCCAGGCCTTGTGCAGCAAAGGAGGTGGGTAAATATGAAACCATGTGTGTCCATTCAAGAGGTAATGGGCTTTTTTTGCACTTCCCAAATCTGTTTCCTACAAGGGAAAAAAAAAATAAAAAATTGTTTCTACCATGAGGACCACTTTTCTTAGTCACACTTTCATCAGCTCTCAGATTCTGTGGGATCTAGTTGGCTGGGAAGAAGTCACCCAGACTTCCTCCTACCTCTCGAGCAGCACAACAGGAACTGCACTGGCATTTGATAATGGTCAAACTTCAGCAGCTGCTGAAAGCCCTTGGCAGCTGCTGTCTCACTGCCACTGGTTTTGGGACCTGAAATGTTTCTGCAGGCTGAGGACTTACTGTCTCCCCTCCCTCCTCTGGCAAGCCTAAACAGGATGTTTTCCCCTTTCCTTATCCTGTCAGCTCCAGCAGGGCTCTTCTGCAGAAATTTCCTCTCAAAGTCTCTGTTCCACAGTCTGATGGTAGAGCCAAGGTTGTTCTGCTGCACTTGGACATTAAGGAAATGAAGAAAAAACCCCACTCTGCACCCCCCAAAAAACCCCAACCACTGCACAAGTGGCAGCCAGGTTTGCCCAGTGCAGGGCAGCTTGGAGCATTTGTCCTGGCTTTGGTACAAAACCTTTTGCTAGATTAGGAAGCTACTGGCAGCTCAGGGCAGGCTGGTGCTATAGAAGCCAGGCAGGAGCTACAAGCAGGCCCGATTCCAGTCAGAAGGCCCAGACAGCACCATCTTTCTCAGTCTCATTCCCCAATATGGAGACTCCTCTAGGCAGGGAGCTCTGCAATGCCATCACCATTCCTCCAGTATGGCTGTGAAGCATAAACATTCAGGCCCCAACCACATTTGACTCAGCAGTTGCTGTGCTGCCAACAATGTCAATTGTAGCAAATGCAATGCCTGTACATGTGTCCTGCCAATTTTAGCACTGCAAAAACAAAAACTTCTGCACTCTTGAGCCATCAGGGAACAGCATGGGTCAGGCAGAACAAGCACTCCAAAGGGGTAGTTGGCAGTGATTACCTCAGTAACTCTGTGACTCTTCTACATGAGGTCAAAGCACCCTGCCCCAAAAAACAAGCTCCCCCCCACCTTGTCTGACCATTTCAGGAGTGTCATGCTCCTGCCTTCCCAAGGAACTGGCCACCAGCAGCACCCTAGCCCCATGGCAGCACCTTTACCCCAAGTCCTTGCATCTCTGCTGCAGTCATATGACACCATGAACTGTCTTCTCCCTGCTCTTTCCTTTGCTGACTTAAGGTGAATAAATAAATATAAAAGCAAAGCCCATGGCCTTTTGCCAAAGTGCTTTTCCAAATCAGTTTCTTCTTTACTCTTAGGTGTAGGGAGCTGTCAAACAGCAGCTTTATTTTTCCAAATAGCCTTGTAGATATTTATGTATATGTATAGGCATTGATACTGGAGCACCACTGAATTTGTGAACAGCTGTTATTCAAAGCTTTAACCTGTGCAAATAAACCAACTCAATTAACAGGGAAGTAACAGTACTGGGATATTTTCATTTCACATTTTTATTAGTAGACAGATGTGCAGAAAAGACAAAATATAACTACTGAAGGAGAAGACAACACAAAAATGCATCAGTTAATTGTTTCTGGTAAATTATACTGAAGAAAAAAGGAAACCATCTAGGATTTCAGTTTAGAAAACTACTAAGAAATCTAGTGTACCCTGCTGGTTTCAGAATGGTTGAAAACTGCATTTGAAAGGGCAGGTAGTTGCAAATGTAAACACTAATACTGGCTGAGCTGAGAAAAAGGTTAAGAAAAAAAACAGAATACAAAGATCAGGTAAACATTTTTTCACAATTTCTTAAATAGTTTTAAAAACCCCAAACAAAACCCCAAACACAATACCCTCATATTTCAGTTGGTATCCCAAAAAAGAAAACCAGCAAGTCAACAAGAAGTGACACTGCACAGGGCAGTGGAGAAGAGAAATTAGTCTGATTACAGTCAGAGCTTTTAAAGTAGGTTGCTTTTTGTCTTTAAGAAAGGGTAATAGAAGAGTCATGATAATGCATCTTACAACACCAAGCTTCAAAATACAACTCAATGGAGAGTATATAGTGAAGATGGTAAAAAATACAAGGGAAATCCTGAAAGATGCAGTATCATTTCAAACCAAGTCATCAGCACAGCCAGTGTTGCTGTACTCTGCTCCTTCATGCCCCTAACAACCCCTCAAAGCTGGAGACCTGTGTTCCTGTCCCAGTGTGGCCCTGAGACCAGTCCGGCATCCATGAGTGAAAGAGGCTCATTTTCTAACACTGGCACTGCCCTCACAGGGCTGGTATGAAGCTGGGGTGTGGGGGTGTTCCCCACACTGTAACTAGATGCAGAGGAGCCCTGCTGCTGGCTCCAAAAAGCACCAGGGACTGAGTTAGTCCCTGATGGAAAGATGGCCTGAAGGAGCCCATGTGGGATGCTTTAGGAGGGGTCCAGCTGCCTGTTCAGGTAACAAGCAAGCAGGAGGGCAGACCATCACATAGAGCACTGAGGACAAGGTTTCACCACTTGGGCTGCCTTCACTCTGCCAGGGGCAGAGGGACGCACACTAACACACCCTGGGGAAGGGACTGTCCCTGCTGCAGCAAATCCCAGCCAAGAAACATTTTGAAAACAAATCTGCCTTGCTCACTTCAAACAGAGCTCCACAGGCCTTCCTCCCCTCCCCAATGGCTGCCTTCCCCTTCTCTCCAGGCAGCACATCTTGCTCACTCTCATCTCATTCCTCACCCTGGGACACAGCCACCAAGCTGATCACAAAACAAAGTTTACTCTCGAGCTTACAGTTCTTATCAGGGTGACTGCCTCTGTACCTGTCAAAACAAAGGGGCTCACCCAAGCAGGGCCAGCACCTCCGATCTCCTCCTGGAGCTGCCAGGGCTAAGCACAGGAGGGCATGGCTGGCTGCCAATCCAAGGATCATGTGAAAGTGAATTCAGGGCACTGCACCACAGCTGAACAAGAGTACACTGCAATGGGGTGAAGGTGCTGAGGGATTGTGGAAGAGGATTCCGCACACAGGATCAGGGCATCAGCTGAAGCATGCTGCTGAAGAGCCTGTCAAACCCTGCTGCTGGCTTTCTCTTCCAGCCTGAAAGCACTGTGTAACCTTCTCCTGTAGGGCTGCACACATCCACTCGTGCCCCAGCCAGCCAGGCAGGGGAGAGCCCAGCACCCATCCACCCCTCTGCCCCATGTCCCAGCAGCCACTGCAGGCACAGGAACAGACTGGCTGCCCCAGGCAGGTGGCAAAGGGAACTTTGTCTTCTGTCAACCCTACAGAGCTACAGCAGAGCTGCATTTACCAACAGGTGACCAACATAAGCAATCGAAAAAAGGCTCAGGCCAGCACTGGACTTGGGCTGGAAGAAGCAAAGGTTACTAGCGAGCACTGGGGAAAGAGACTCTCACATGGCCAAAAAGTTCAGGATGAATGCTGACCCACTGGGAAGTGGGATACACTTCTGTTTTCCTCCCTCATTAGAGGGGCAGCTGGCAGCAGATCCCAGCAGAATGGCGAAATTGAACTTTTTCAACCCCAACTTAGTCTGAAAAAAAACCAAATAATGCAACCCAGGGCTCAGTTGTACAGATGTGAAGTGTTAAGTGTTTATATTTTAAGGTTCATATCACAAGCCTTTTTCAGAGACAAAGCTGATTGCGTCCTCTGCGAATCCAGGAGTCAGCTATTTCCTACCTTGAACAGGCTAAACAGATTCCTGTACCTTTCAGTAACATCCCATCAAGCTCAACACACAGTAGCTTTACACTCTCCACCCCACACCTCATTAAGGAAAAGCCACCATCACAAGGCTAAATGAATGTACACATGCTATTATTGTAAATGGAGTAGCTAAACCCTAGCAATTTACTCAGTGTGGATATTTTTCTTCCCAGTAAATGCAGCACTGGAACACCTGAAAATCCATCTTCCAATGGTTTTGTTCCAGCTTTAAATGCATCAAACATCTCAATGCAAGACTGAATTTAATTCAAGAATCTAAACACAAGCAAACCTGTTTCATTGTATTTCATAGAGAAGTGGAAAAGGAAGTTTCTTTTTTAAAAAGAAATCATAATACAGTGATGAAAGGGTTAAGAATGCAAGAATTCAGACATTCTGTGGAGGGTCTCTAAGAGGTCCATAAAAAAGGAGCAAACAGATCCATACAACAGGAGACAGCAGGAGACAAAGCTTTCTTGATCCCTCCCCTCCCACCACCACTTTTTTGCTGGACTGCTGCTAGGTTACCACTGCTCCCTTCTGGCCTGGACAGGGCAGTACAGGGGCATAGAGGGAGCAGGTCATGACTCCTCATTGCCAGAATCATCATCATCGTAACAGTCGGCATCCTCCTCCTCCTCATCTTCGTCATCAATGTCATCATCGTACAAGTCGTCGTAAAGCAAATCTGAACTGTTGTCATTGGAAGGCACTTTAGTTTTGATGCAGTACTCGGCCAGTGTAGTGGGGACCTTCACGCCATCCTTCTCAGCTTCAGCTTTGGTAGCCAAAACCTGTTTCCTGTGGGGAGGAGGACACAGCAACATGAGCAGGGCCATGTGCTGGCAGCAGCGTGGCTCAACTCCCCACCTCCCAGCCAGCCCCTGTCCAGCCCTCCTGGCAGCTCAAAGTCAGGAGAGCTGATGTTTGGCTGAAGCACCACTAGAAACAAAGTTCCTGCAGCCCCAGGCTTGGAAGCACTCCAAGGGTGTTAGCAGCACACATATTCTCAGCAACATATGAAATCAATTATTCTGCAGGACTCCACATTAGAAACCTGGCAGAGCTCAGAGCAAATCCCATTACATTTGTTAGAGAAGGGATGGTCAGGGATTTCCTAAGATGACTTATTGCGGTAGGTTCAGAGATGCCATCCACAGCCATCCTCCACCACTAATGACTTTACCTCAACATACTCAAAACTGCAATTCCCACAAGCATTTGTCATCACTGGAGGGTAAGAGCAGTCTGAGCATGTGGCTGCACCCTGAGATGCAGCTGTAACCCCAGCACCGCCTGGAGATAGCAGGAAACAAGTGTTTCTCATCACCCCAAGATGGGCTCTGGCTGCTGCCTCTCAGCAGCACTTGGGCTGGGAGGGGAGCAGATGGCAACCTGTACCTTCCCTTCCACCCACCTGCTCAGTCTGCCATAGTCTGCTTATGTAATACATCCAGCTCCACTGAAGCCAATGGAGATGGAGGGGACTAAGATAACCTCCCAGCAAGGTTCTTTGCACAGCTCAGGCCAGCAACTGACTGCCCTGCATAGCTCCAACCAGGGCTATATCCAGCTAGCAGAGTCAATGTAGATGTTGTCTTGTCCCAGGCAAGCATGACAGCATGACAGCAGTCCCACTGCAGTATGGGCTGCCCATTTGCCACTCCACAGCAACCTAGGCTCAAGTTCACATCATCTCCCTATAGCACCTGATGAACCATGAATGTCTTAGCAAAGGGCAGTCAAGACTGAACAGTTCTTCCAGCTAATCAAACCCAGCTGTGGAAGCGCTTGCCAAATCCTACTGATATTACTTTGAATTGGAGGGACAAGATTATGATTCACGAGTGCATTAAGCACAGAATTAGTAGGATGAAGGCAGTTTGAATCACATCCCAAGCAATGCAAGCAGCACTCAAAGGCAAGCAGGGACTTTGACAGGAATTTAATAGCAGCCAATAGGTTTTGCAGAGCATCATGCTAGATTAGTCTGAAAAAGAACAATACGAAGACAGATCAGTCCAGTCCTCCTGCTCCAGAAGTTTGCACCATTTCTGTCCAGAAGCATGGACTTGGAATAAAGCTGTAAAATTAATTTTGAAAGGTGCAGCCACAGCAAGAAGCTGGTTGCAGCAAATTCTGAAAGCAGCCTACGTCACAGGATTCAAAGCAGGAGGCCAATAGCACGGCATCACACACAGCAAAGCTTACCTTATGATTTCAGCATACTCCTTGTCTTTTCCTTTACTGTCCCTCCATTTCCTGAACATGACTGATGCATCCACATTGGCAGGAGAGAATGTGTTGGGCTCATTAAGCAAAGAGATTACACTCAGTAAGATAGTCCTGAAAAAGGTAATAATGACAGCAGAGTCAGACCTAACACATTCATGAATTCTGCATGCTGAAAACTTCTTTAGGTGATGCATCAGAAACATGTTTAAAGTCAAAACTTAAGTGAAGAATAATGAAGGATATCTGAGTGTAGTGGGTTGGCCCTGGCTGGATGCCAGGCACCCACCAAAGCTGCTCTATCACTACTGCCCTCTCTGTCTGTACAGAGGAGAGAAAATATAACGAAAGTTCATGGGTTGAGATAAGGACAGGGACAGATCACTCACCAAATACTGTCACAGGCAAAATAGACTTGCATTGAGGATATTAATTGAATTTATTACTAACAAAATCAGAGCAGGATAATAACAAGTAAAATAAAAACACTTTCCCCCACCCCTCCCTCCTTCCCAAGCTCTACCTCCTCCCCCCCAGCAGCACAGTGAGACAGGGAATGGGGGTTACAGTCAGTTCATCACACATTGTTCCTGCTGCTGCTCAGGGAGAGGAGTCCTTTCCCTCCTCCATAAACTTCTCCAACGTGAGTCCATCCCATGGGCAACGGTTCTCCATGAACTGCTGCAATGCGAGTCACTTTTCCACAGGGTCAATCCTTTAGCCACAGGCTGTTCCAACATGGGTCCCCCACAGGGTCAAAAGTAGGAAACGTGCTCTAGCATGGGCTCCTCTCTCCACAGGCTTCCCATGGGTTTACAGCCCTCTTTTGGGCATTTCCCTGCTCCAGCGTGGGTCTCCTCCGTGGGCTGCAGGTGAATCTTTTCACTCCTGTTAACCTCCATAGGCTGCAGGGGCAAGCTGCCTCACCACGGGCTGTACCACAGGCAGCAGGGGAATCTCAGCTCCAGTGCCTGGAGCACCTCCTCCCCCACTGACCTTGGTGTCTGCAGAGTTGTTCACATGTTTTCACTCCACTCTGTCATTCCTGATTGGCTTGGCCTTGGCCAGTTGTGGGTCCATCCTGGAGCCAGCTGTCATTGGCTTTGCTGGACATGGGGGAAGCTTCTAGTAGCTTCTCACAGAAGCCACCCCTGTAGCTCCTCTGCTACCAAAACCTGGCCACACAAACCCAATACACTAAGGACAATAGTTGAAGTAACAGCAGATACTTATGAACTTCAGACTCTGGTCATCAGTGTAGAGAAGATGACACAATACAAACCTATAAGACCTAATCTGATGACAGACTATCATGTCTGTACGCGTTTGTGACAGAGTAGCAGGCAAAGCTTGCATCAGACTAGAATTCAGCTTGTCCATACCACCCATAGATGGTGCAGGGTTGGAAACCTGCTTGGTGAGCCTGTTCCTCATGACATTCATCCTCTCAGCAGAAAGCCAGGCTCTTTGCCTACCCCAAAAACACTACAACTCAAGGGCATCAAATGAGGCTGCACTGACTTCCCTGCCCCACAGTGTATTAAGAGGTTGGAACTGTGGTCAGGTCTCTCAGCCTGTGTGCCAAGACTGCTGTAGCAGCACTTAAAAAACATATGCACTATCTTCCCCTTGCTGTGCTCAACACCCAGGCAAGCTGCCAAGGGCCCAGCAAGATTCAGCTGCTGGTACTCAGCAAAGGCAGCATGAACCAGTCACGTAACCCCTGGCAGACAGATAGCGTTCCTGGATTTCTAGCTGCAGCCCAGAACTAGCCATCTGCCCTGCTCTGCTGACAGTTACCAGGGACAAACACTACTTTCCTTGCCCAGACCCCTCTGCATTTCCTACAACCCTTTGCACTTCAGAGATTGAGCCCTTTGTTCCTCACACAGTGTCACAACCAACACACAACTCAGACAGCTCTACACACCTGGCCACCTGGCTTTAGCTAACACCACAACAGCTTCACACGTCTGTGGTGATCCTGCTGGCAACAGCTTTCAATTTAAATGGAAGGGGAGAATAAGAGACAAGGAATAAGTCTTGAAATACAGCAGTACATAACAACTGCTTTGCAGAACTTGATTAAAGGAGACTACAGCCCCAACTGTAGTTCAGAGCAGGGCATGCCGAGCACATCACCAAGCATATCATATATCTGAGATACAATTCCAGGAAATACTTGGCCATTTGGATGAAGTTTCTTGAAAGATTTTGAAACTAAACACTACACTTTCATCTGGCCAGACTGTTCAGCACAACTATCAGGAGAGTCATATACAATTTACTTTCCAAATAATATAATTCAGTAGGAAAAAGAACAGCAGCTCTGGAAAAAGCTGTCTAGTCAGACTGGAATGACAGGTAGAAGAGAAACCATCTTTTATTTCAACTCAAGAATTTATTTAAAAGCCTTTGAATTCTCAGCAATCAGGCTGCAAAGCCAGCATGTCAGCAACAGCATCGTTACTGTAAAGCAAGCAAAATCTAAAGAAGGCTGAGGACAAGAATTCACATCTGGATATAGCACCTGCTCTACCACACTTCCATCAAGAAAGTGAGGAGAAATCAATTTCCACTACAGTGCCCCAGACTCCAAAGTCACTGCAAAGCTACCTAAACACACCAAGGTAATTGTCTATTAGAGGTGAGACTCTCTGCACTCTTCATTCCTGACCAGCACATTAGATCAGCTCCATCACTGTTGATATCCTTAAGAGCTGGACAGTCTCCTCCAACTCAAACCCTGCTGCTGTAGGTAAGCAAGGTGAACAAAGTACAGTAACAGGAAGGGATCCCAACACAGGGGATCTGACAGGACAGAACCATAAAAAAGTCCAACCATGTGTGACTGAAAACATCCTCAGCATCAGATACAAACTGCACCAGACTGGATACAGACTGACCCTCTCCAGTACTGTCATGGATCTGTTTCTCCCTTGGGCGAGGTTGTTCTGGCATGTTGTTTCATGCAAGTTGTTTGGATGAAGAGTGGGGATTTCAAGCCCACCTTTGCTTTCTTACATCCCCTACCCCATTCTGGAGAACAGTTGTTGTTTAAAAAAAAAAAAGGGACAGGTTAGCTTCAAATGCCTCTGGTACTAAGTGATCCTTTGGGTCTTTTTGTCAGGAAGAAAGCTACCTGGCTAACTGCTCAAGATATCACACTGCAAGAAAGGAGATACACAAATACTGTAAGGCAAACAGCAAGCAGAATAATGCACCAAGTTATTCCTACTGGGCCCAAATACCCAAAAAAGTTCTTTTCCACTAGTGGTACCATGGAACAGTTTGAAAAATCTAACTGTAGGATAACAATGACTGGGGAAGGGCAGAACATTTGAGATAATTTGTTTGAAGAGCATGAAACCCAATTAACAGGACAGAAGTCTCCACATTGTTACCCCAGCATCAGGTCACTTCAGAATCAGCACTTCAGACAACTTGATAAGTCCAGTTCTCACCCAGTTCAAGACCTAAAGCTCCCAATGTCTTAAATTTTGTTCCAAAACTTTCCCAACACAGGCCCTAGTCTTGGAGAGAGATGACAGGCCTTTGAGGTCACTGCTGTACATCACAGATTCACAGTTACCTGACATTTTGGGTAGGGTTCCACCTCTCGGAGGGCAGCTCTCCACTTTGTGGGTCATCTACAGGTGGGTGAAGAATTGAAATACATACATCACCATTCTGCAAGACAGAAACAAAAGTTGAGAATAGCCTGGCTTGAGGCAGAGGTCTGACAACACAACCAAACCAGCTGACCCAAACTACTGGCCAAAGGGATATTCCATACCATATGACATCAGCTCAGACATAAAAGCTAAGGAAAGGAGGAGGAAGGGGGGGGGGCATTTGTTATTGACAATGTTTGCCTTCTGGAACAACTGCTACATGTTCTGAAGCTCTGCTTCCCGGGAAGTGGTCAGACACCACTTGCTGATGGGAAATAGAGAATAAAATTTTTTTTTATTTTGTCTTCGCTTCTGCATGCACAAACTGTCACTTTTGCTTTAGTCAACTGCCTTACCTCAACTTATGAGTCATTTTCCATCTTATTTTCTCTCTTCTGTCTGACTGGGAAGGGGAGTGATAGAGCAACTTGGTGGGTACCTGGTGTCCAGCCCAGGTCAACCCACTACAGTCTTCTTGGTGCCCAAACGCGGGGTGAGACAAAGGCAGTTACACATATATATATTGCATGCCATAGTAATAGTAGTTATTGAGTAGCAAGCTCCTGTGCGGGACATGGAGTTTGTCAGCTGCACTGCTTATCTCTTTATTTTGCTGAGTTTGGGAACATACTAATACAAACAAGCTCTAAGCTTTGCCCTGCCTTGCTGTGCTGGGGGAGTTATTTCATGGACAAGATAAGGGAATACATCTTCTTCCCTACCCGGGATTAATGTGGATGGTTTTATTATGCAGGCTCCTGTGATGGTTTTGGTCTAGGCCTTCCTGGTGACCAGCTTGTAACCAAGGAAGTGGCCATGTACCCAGTATTCCATATGATTTTTACGTAAACCAGAGTATAAATAAGTTGGAGATTAGAGACCTCACTCTGCAAGGAACAGTGGGTCCTTGCGTTGGTCTCGCTCATCTAAGGCTGAGGCCTGCAGCGTCCACTGACCTGCCACATGGAGGTTTGGAGAGTGCTGGCCGTGTCTGCCAATCCTGCTTTTCTAAGGGACGTGGTGAGATCTGTTTTGCTAGTTATTAGTATAGTTCTTGAGTTTGATTGCGTATATCTGTTTGGTGTCCCTTTTTGTCCCCTTTTGTCCCTTTTTCCCCTTTCCCTTTCCCTTTGGGGGATGTTTGGATTCCCTTTTGCTGTGTACATAGCATCTTAACTGTATATAACTGTAATATATGTAAATATATATATTTTTATATAAGTAGCTTGATTTTGGGTTCTTAAATTTTTAATAGTTTTTTTTCCTTTGCCCTAAGCGAAGAAGGGAGGGGGAAAGGGTTTGTTACTGTGAGTTCGGGCATTTGGCAGGGAGCCATGTCCGAACTATCACAGCTCCTGAGGTCCTTGCTCATCCTTATGTGAGCTGTTTAATACCACTAATTAATACTGTTAGCACATTATGGGGTTTGTGGAACCTGGTGTTGTCCTGGTGTAAAAGAAAACAAATCTTGGGTGAGGCAATATTGAAATGTGACCTGAAGCATCTGGTCCTTGTGTGTCAGTGTGTGTGGAAGGATTTGGGCAGGTTCCTAGGGCAGTTAACACCTCCCATTACATGGGACTTCACACCTGAACAGGTATTCAACCCTAGCAAACTGACACATCACCTGATGGAATGGTGCCTTGCCTATCCCAATCAAAACCAGCAGCTTCTCACCCTGTACTGGGGCCTGGCCTGTGCCTATCGAGCCACAGTTCAGTACTCTCAGAGGACTGTAGTGGAGGCAGGGACCCAAACCATAATGGAGGACACTCTGGCTGAGACAGGGACTCAAACCACAACAACTACAGTCATTGCCCCAGTAGTGAAAAAGTGGACAAAGAGAACAAAACATCCATACCATCGATTTGAAAGGAAGGAAGGGAAGGAGGAAGAGGAGGAGAAAGAACCAAGAAAAGAAGGGTCTGATCAAGAAGCCAGTCCTTCAACAAAGAAACTGGAGAAAGGAATGAGACAAATCAAACAGGAAACCTAAGTTACCCAGTCCCTGACCTTATCAGAACTTCGAGACTTGTGAAAAGATTACAGCCCCCAGCCAGGTGAGCGGATTTCTACCTGACTGCTTCGATGTTGGGATAAAGGGGCTGACAGTCAGCAATTGGAAGGTCATGAAGCCCAACAGTTGGAATCCCTTGACAGAAGTCAGGGAATTAAAAAATTAATTGGAAAAGAGGCAGTAATTTGTAGTCTCTGGAGACAGCTCCTCTCAAGTGTGAGGGCAAGATATCCATTTAAGGAAGATCTTGTGAACTCCCCAGGAAAGTGGACCACTGCAGACAAAAGTATCCAGTACTTGAGTGAATTAGCAGCGCTGGAAGTCATCTATAGTAATCTAAAAAGTGATATCCCTAAAGATCTAGGCCATGTGGAGGAAAGTGTTTCAAAGTGCCCCTGCATCATATTCCAACAGCTTGGCAGCAATGTATTACCAGGAAATGGATACACTAACTCTGAAGAGAGCATCTTCCTGGCTCCAAAACTTTGAAGAAAATCTCTGTACCTCCTCATGCCTATGGGCATGTACCTCAGCTCTCAGGAGCAACCCAAGAAATCAGTCCTCTCCTGCCCTGGTCAGAGGGAAATGAAGCTCCAAGCGCAGGCCACGTGGTGCTGTTGGAGAATGCAGCAAGGCCACAGCCTGACAGCATGGAAAAGAATGTAAATAAGAGGTGAACATCCAATCATATGTGAAAGCTAGTGGTAAATATAGATAATAGAGCTAAGAATAGTGTTAGTATGTAAGATTCTAGGAGACAGTATGTGAGTGCAGCTGTGTGAAGACAATGTAATATCATGGGAAAAGAAGGAACTGAGAATTTCCATAAACAAGGATTGAGGGTGGATCTGACTGTTAAGGCTGTTACCAATCGTAGAGCTAGGTTACAGAATATTAATGATCTTATTATGTATCCTATATAAGCCGTGATGTATAATCAATAAACGAAGCTTGCTTGATACTCATATTGAGCGTCCCTGACTTCCTGAGCTGTGACATGGTGCAATCTGTTTTTTTCTGCAGGGCCAGGGGGAGGACATGAAGAAGTGGGATGGTGAACCCACCTTTAAGCTGGAAGCCTGTGTACATGAACTGAGAGGGAAGGGAGCTGTTAAGAAGTGTCAGTGTAGTTGCTGCAGACACAAGAAGGCAATCAGTGATCTCCCAGACATAGAAGAACTGAGATCACCTCCCTTGATCCTGTTGAGGGGACTTCTGGTCTGGCATTGCAAGGGTCAGACAGGGAACACTGACCAGGAAAAGGAATAAAGGGTCCCTGCCTTTGGCCAGGAGGAGGAAAGGGATGACCAGGCATACTGGACTGTGTGGATTCAATGGCTTGGCACATCAGATCCACAGAAGTATAAGGCTTTAGTAGACACTGGTGCACAGTGTACACTGGTGCCATCAGGATATAGAGACACAGAAACCATCTGGCTCTCTGGACTGACAGAGGGATGCCAAGAATTGTCTGTATTGGAGGCTGAGGTGAGCTTAACAGGGGAAAAGTTGGGAAAGCACCCCATTGTGACTGACCCAGAGGCCCCTTGTATCCTTGGCATCAACTACCCCAGGAGAAGGTACTTCAAGGATCCAAAGGGGTACCAATGGGCTTTTGGTGTAACTACTGTGAATACAGAGAAGATCAAGTGTGGGATTTAGACAGGCTAAAGGCCTGGGGGAAAGAACCAAACCCTAACAGCACACATTGGGCTAAGCTGAGCACAGAGCAATTCATTACAGGAATGAAACTGCTGCCCAAAAGCCTGCCTTGTCCCCAGGTAACAACAGCAGCCAATCAGATGCTGCAGTCACAGGTTTTGCCTTATAAGGAATGTTTTTGTGTTTGTGTAAGGTTATAAAAACCTGCGTCCTGTCAAAAGTTATTCCAGCTCCCTTCTCTTACTGAGTCCATGCTCTGTCCCTCTCCTCCCCCTGGGATTGTGATTTAATGCGTCACAATCAAGTAGCTATCTACCCTGCCTGGTCTCTAGAAGATCCCTTCATTGTGAGATTTCTGCAAGTTGAAGACCAGCATGTGCCAATTGCTACTGGGACAATGCACTAGCAGCAATATCCCACCAACTGAGATTCCCTGGCTCACTCACCTTTCAATAGTCTCATATGGCCAGTCCAAAAATCTGACAGAGGGTGGAGGTTAACAGTAGGCTATTGTGGCCTGAACGAAACAATGCCACCACTGAGTGCAGCTGTAGAAGACATGCTAGAGCTCCAATATGGAGTCGAAGACAACCAAGTGGTGTGCTGCAACTGACATTGCCAATGCATTTCTCTTAAACCCTCTGGCAACAGAGTGAAGACCACAGTTTGCTTTCACGTGGAAGGGTGTCCAATATACCTGGAATTGACTGCCCCAGGGGTGGAGATGTGACCTTTCCATCTGTCATGGACTGATCCAGACTGCACTGGAACAGGGTGATGCCCCTGAACATCTACAATATACTGATGACATCATTGTGTGGGGCAACACAGCAGAAGAAGTGTTTGATAAGGGAAAAAGAATAATTCAAATTCTTCTGAAAGCTGGGTTTGCCATAAAGAAAAGCAAGGTCAAGGGACCTGCACAGGAGATTCAGTTTTTGGGACTAAAATGACAGGATGGACACTGTCACGACCCTATGGATATGGTCAACAGGATAACAACTATGTCTCCACCAACTAACAAGAAGGAAACACAACCTTCCCTAGGCCTTGTGGGGTTCTGGAGGATGCAGAATACCAGGTTACAGTCAGCTTGTGAGCCCCCTCTATCAAGTGACCCGAAAGAAGAACCATTTTGAGTGGGGTCTTGAGCAACGACAGGCCTTTGAGCAGATCAAACAGGAGATAGCCCGTGCAGTAGCTCTGGGGCCTGTTGGAACAGGACCAGCTGTGTGAAATATCCTCTCCACGGCAGCTGGGGAGCATGGTCTCACCTGGAGCATCTGGCAAAGAACCTCAGGAGAAACCTGAGGTTGACCATTAGGGTTTTGGAGCCT